TATATATATATATATATGTGTGTGTGTGTGTGTGTGTGTGTGTGTGTCTGTGTGTGTATATACAAATAATAGTATGTGCTTTATCACATTCATACACTGATGGGACACACATCGGAGGCAATGAGGGGTTCAGTGTATTGCTCAGGGACACTTCCGCATGTGACTGCTGGTGGAATTGAACCCACATCTCTTGCGTTGGAAGTCGACTGCTCTAACCACTCAGCCACAGCTGAGTATTTATAGAACTATATGCCTAACATTTCTGGTTAACATATTTCATATTGAGATTCCATAGCAGAAATGCCCTACAACACATTTGAATAAACTTTTACTGTATTTGATATAGAAGTAAGACAAAGTTAGACAACGTAAAAAATCTAGCTTTATTTTTTCTCCTTTTATTTTTTTGTAACAAACAGCACATGCAACAAACTGAATACTAATGACTAAAGCACATTTTTTTTTCTACCTTACATTTTGAATAAAACTTTGCTCTTTGTTTTTCTATTTTCTTCTCACTATTTATATATTTTTCTCTTCATTTTTTATCAGATTGAGGTTAAGTCAGTTCCTCTACTAGACAAAAGTCCACATTACTAAAAATGTTCCTTTATTAAAATTTGATTCAATGCTAATTTGCTGTTTCTTTTTTCTGTCTTGCTTTTGTCCCTTCTTATTTTCTGCTTTCCAGAGATGTCTGGTACAGGAGAGGATATTTCTCAGGTGCACTGGAAACAACAGTGGTTGGAAAACGGGACACTTTACTTCCACGTGTCCATGACTGAATCAGAACTCATTCTGCAGACCACGCAACCCACGGCTCGGGAGCCGGCTCATGTGTTACATGAACACATGCATCTGCTACATATTTCAGTGATGGTAAGCACGAGGTTTATGAAGCATGCTAATACAACACGGCAGCACGATGGCTCAGTGGTTAGCACTGTTTCCTGACAGGAAGAAGGTCCTGGGTTCAATCCCCGGTTGGACCTGGGGTCTTTCTGTGTGTAGTTTGCAAGTTCTTCTTGTGCTTGCGTGAGTTTTCTCTGGGTATTCCAGTTTCCTCCCTTGGTACAAAAACACACATGCTAGGCTGCCTTCAGGCCCAGGCCTCCCTTGCAAAAGAGATTGGTGATCTCAGTGGAATTTTCCTGGTTAAATAAAGGTTAATAAACACCAATACTGTAGTCCCATGTTTATCATGGGGGATACGTACCCTGAAGCCCCACGATAAGTGAAAAACCATAATATAAGAATAGTAGTACAAGTACTATATATATATCAAAGAGTTTTAAACCCGTCCCACACTCTTGCAATATTCTAAACAATGTTTCTAAACTCTAAAAGCTATAAAAGGAGGAGGAGGAAGCTTTTCCTGCAGCTTGGGCTGCACACGAGTGCAGCAGGTGCTAAATAATTTTAAATAATTTATTTTAAAATTAGGGGCAGCACGGTGGCGCAACTGGTAGAGCTGCTGCCTCTCAGCGAACAGGTCCCTGGTTCAAACCCTGGTCCAGGGGCCTTCTGGGTGGAGTTTGCATGTTCTCTCCGTGCATGCGTGGGTTTTCTCCGGGTGCTCCGGTTTCCTCCCACAGACCAAAAACATGCATGTTAGGCTAATTGGTAACTCTAAATTGTCCCTAGGTGTGAGTGAGAGAGTGAATGGTTGTTTGTCTCGTTTGTCTCTATGTGGCCCTGTGATGGACTTGCGACCCGTCCAGGGTGTACCCCGCCCCTCGCACAGTGATTGCTGGACATGGGCACCAGCGACCCCCGTGACCCAAAATGGAATAAACGGGTAAAGAAAATGGATGGATGGATGGATGGATATTTTAAAATTAAAAAAAAAAAATCTTTGCCCATTGTGTGGCTCATCCATCAATCAGCCAATTGTGTGTCATGTCCAATCTTATTTTGAAAAAACGCGATAGAGTTAGTATGCGAAAAACGTACCGCGAAGTAGCGAGGGACTACTTTACACCTTTTTCTTTCTGTCTGGTCCTTCAGTGTATCAGGCTGTTTTGCTGCCTGAAATATTTGAGTCCTTTACTTTCTTCTTCAGTTTTTATTCTTTATTTAATACTTTACAAAAAATGCTTTACATTGTGAGAACTAGTATGAACTCAAAATACATTTTGAACTCACTTTATCAGGATGCTGTTGATTGGCTAACCACTAGTGCAAACTGATTCGTAATTATTTATTATGTTTAATATATAATGATGTTGCTGTAATTATTAATGTGTAGCTCAGTCACAGTAACATGATCATTTCAAACCTTAACCAATTTTTCCTCAAAGCACATGCTGACTTTGACTCCCCACAAAAAAGGAAAATAAATATTTGTTTTTAATTGTTTAATATCTTTACTATTGAGGTCTTTACACGTTAATTGGATTACACAGCAGATGCAGGTATGACGGTTTGCTGCTTCACACTGTTTTGCCCAGAGTTCAGCACTATTTGATGAATTTTCTTTATTAATTTTCTTTATACATTTTTTTCATTCATTATATTATTTTGTCAAGTCAGGAGCACTTTCCCTAACACAGCAATAAAAATATTGGGGGTAATGGAAGGGCCAGTGTCTGGGCCAAGGATACAAACTGTAGCAGGGCTAGGGCTCAAATCTTTGATCTTCTGTTTAAAAGAAAATCACTCTCTTGCAGAATGATCGCTGCTCCAAAGTTGTCATGGATCGTTCCCTTACATCTAACTGAGATTTCATCAGAAAATTGAGTTCATTTCCATTTTCAAAATTGAACTGGAAATCATTTGCTTCAAGTGCTTCCTGCAACTCATGAGCTATCCAGCCAAGACGAGCAGACAGACTGATGCATTTGTGCGTGCACGCTGACCTCAATTGTCATGTTTGGTGAAATGTTCCTTTACCAGATGGAAAAATGATACAATACATATAATTTTGTGAGTAACTTCCTGGTAAGGACCACCTCTCTGTTAGGGTGTTGATGCTTTTTTTTCAGTCTTAAATTAGAGTTTGCAAATAACCAGCAAATCGTCTTTTTTTGACTTTATAAATGTGTCAATTAAAATTGGCTTAAGAGTTTGTCATAAGCTTGAAATACAGCTTTTTAAAGTATTCTGGTCAGTTCAAAAGGAGGTGAAAAAGGTGGAAGACGCTTCGTAGAGAAGAGGAAGGATAGGAACATGAAGGATGAGAATTTAAAGCATCAAACTGGAGTTTTGATGTACTTTTATTAACGTTTGCTGGTTGGACATTTCACTGTCGTTGTTGTTATATAAAACAGTATGACCCTTTTCAAATATGCACTATTTTAGTCGCTTGTAAAGTTTAATGAAGATTCAAGCGTAATGTGTGTAGCTAAAGTAAAGGTGTGCTTTTCTGGAAGTATTTCAGCAGTTTTTTTTTTTTTTTTCCATTATCAGAATATTAACTGTGATATTATAAAGATACGTCTTTTTTGCTGCATTTTCTTTTTGCTAACATACACAAGAGCCTTTTTTTTATGTTACAGCTCATGTTTGTCCTGCAGCATGAACATTTTCTCTCAGACTAGATTTAATTAGGACCTACTCTTAATCACTTTTTTGTCATGCTTCAGTTGGCTATCTTGGTTCTTCATTTACACTGTTGGAAAAACCACACTTTATTTACAACATCTCACCTTTTGGAAATGTAATTATTCATCAAGAGCTTTCCCAGTTCCTGTGCAGTCTCTTGGCTGTTTTTTTTACAACTCAGAGTACCTTTTTCTACTTTCTCTTCTCTTTACTTTGCACAAATTGCCCACCTTTCAGTCTCCAGGTCGCACGTGTCACACCTTTTCTACTGCTAACTTTTTTTTATTGCTCCCCTCCTCCTGCATCACATTATCTTACTTCCTGAGTCTCTGCGCTTCCTGGTGCACCGTCTCCTCAATGTGTTCATGTCAATGTTCTTTCAGTTCCTCTCACTTCCCCTGTTCACAGCCCCACCTCATTTTATTTCTTTCAAAGAACACTTTTGCCCACTTCTCAGTTGGAGGAATGAAGTCAGTAATAGGTATGTCATGACAGTGACAAAAAAACTGAAAGAGCATGAGTTTAAAGTTATAAGTTGACTTTTTTTATTAAGTTTTCCATTTCTATATGAAGTTCAAGACACAGCAGAAATTTGCCAGTTAATCCACTGTCATAATTTAAAACAATCCTCAAGAGAAATAAACGTTTTAAAAACACAACATTATAATTGTATAGGTATAGTTTAGTAAAAAATTAAATAAGACTAAAAACACCTAAAATCTACCTTGGATTAATTGTACCTTGTGAATAGTATACAATGATTGTGATACAAAATATTGCATTATGAATACCAAGATGTCTCAAAATCTTCTATCCGTTTCATTTTCTTGAAGGCTTTTTTTTTTCTTAGTGGATGATAATTATATATACAGTAGTCCCTCGCTACTTCGCAGTTCGACTTTCGTGGACTCGCTGTTTCACGGTTTTTCAAAGTAAGGATGGGCATGACACACAATTGGCTGATTGATAGACGAGCCACACGATTGGACATGTAATTTTAATTTAAAATAAATTATCTTAAATTATTTAGCACCTGCTGTGCAGAGAGCTCACATGTGCAGAGGAGAAGGTCCCTCCTGCGGCATGTCAATCTCAAGTGGGCGTGGCCTAGAGAGCTGGCAGAGGAAATGGAAATCATGACATTCTGTGCTTTTTAGAGCGTTTAGTGTTTAGAAACATTGTTTTGTATATTGCAAGAGCGTGGGAACGGTTTAAAATGCCTTTAATATATATATATATATATATATATATATTTATTTATTTATTTTTTTGAGAAACAAATTGGTTGTAAGATCTGTCCATGAATCAGTGCACACCACAATGAAAACACATACTGTATGTTTTTAATGAATGTCAATATGATTTACTTGTCTGTCTGTCTGTTGGTGAACATTTTTATTCTTAGTGGGACAGACACCAAATAAACAAGAAACACTGATTTAACAATGTGTTATTGTTTTATAGTGAGCTCATTAACAAACATCCATCCTTTATCTTGACCCGCTTCTTCTTTTTCTGGGTTGCGGGGGTGACTGGTGTGCATATCCAGCAGTCACTGTACGAGAGGCAGGGTACACCCAGGACAGGTCGCACGTCCATCACAGAGACAAACAACCATCCGCTCTCTCACTCACACCTAGGGACAATTTAGAGCTTCCAGTCAACCTAACATGCATGTTTTGGTGAGTAAGCCGGAGTATCCATAGAAAAGCCACGCATGCACAGAGAGAACATGCAAACTCCACCCAGAAAGACTCCCAGTCAGGATTCAAGCCGGCAACCTTCTCACTGAGAGGCAACAACTCTACCAACTGAGACACCTCAGTTGTCACCTGTTGTCACCAGCCACCTATTTGCTTAAAACAAACAAACATATAAAATAAAAATCTAGCACAGAATGAAATGAGTATTCAAAGATGGATAGATGTATAGTTAAAATGTGAATGCACAATAAATGCAGACAGTTTGTTGCCTTTTTTCCATATTATATTTTGGGGACTGACCTAAGATTGTTTATGCTTTTTGTGTCAAACTTACTGGAAACTTATTGAAACACGCTCCAAAAAACATTTCTTTAAATCATTTTTCCCTCCAAAATCTTAACTTTAAAAAAGTAATGTTTGCATGGTGAAGCAGCTGGTTAGCACTTTAGCTTTTTAACAACTAAATATGTTGGACTCCTGTCTGGGGGGGTGTGTAGTCTTTGCATGTGGACTTAGAGAGTATTCCCTGAGCAAGTGTGGAACGATTCTAATATTTTATTTATCTTAGTTAGTTGGGTTTAGGATAAAATGAGAGCACAAATAAAAAAATACTCTAAAGAGTCAAATGTCCTG